AAACTACTGCCGCTAGCATAGCATCGGCAAGCAGTGAGTAGCATTGCTTTTACAAATGAGCATGGCATTTTGCGTTCAGACATCGAGGGGAAACAAGGAACCCATGTCATTATCCGAGCTTTGTTTTTAGAACTGTGGTAAGCTCCCGACACTCAGTGATTCTGTTCGCAATGTGAATGGAGATTTTAATGCTGAAATCTCGGCTTAGGTCGGTCGCTGGCGTGAACACGTCGAGCACCTCCTCAACTTTGATGGACAACCCATCACACCGTCTCTCTCCTCCACAGCAGAGTTTTAAACCTCTTCTACCTACGCAGCGTCGTGTGACCTCTCTTCCGAAGATGAAGTAACCGATGAAGTGCGGAGGCTACGCAACTGCAAAGCGTGTCTCGAGGAGAATATTCCCACAGAAATCTACAAGTACTTTTTCAACACCCTGGCTTTTCGGCTTCGTGAGTTGATTGTACAGGCGTGTCGAGTAGAGGCCGTTCCCGATGACTGGGGCTCAGGCATCATTGTATCTGTCCACAAGAAGGGAGACAAAACGAAATGCGAGAACTACCGCGGCATAAGTCTTATCGGTGCTGCTGCAAAGATCTTCGGTATTGTTCTGCTCAGGTGCTTCCGTTCTGTACGCGACTCCGAGAGTGCGCCTTAACAGACTGACAGTGAAGTGTAGTTCGTTTCCGCGCTGGGCGTGAATTTGCGGATCAGATGTTCACACTGAGACGCATTTTAAAGTTTCGTCATAGCTACTAGCAACCGACAGCCTTTTGCCTTGTCGACTTCGCGGCCGTGTTCGATTTTATCCATCGCGAATCCCTGTGGCGTATGATGAAAATAGGTGGCGTGCCAACCAAACTCACTGCCATGACTAACGCCTACTATCGATCTACCACCTCAGGAGTCCTGGTCAAAAATAATCTTTCTTAATCGTTCGATATCCGATCTGGTGTCAGATAGGTCTGCGTCCCTTCGCCAATTCTGTTTAACTACGCCATTTATCGGAATCTCGGCAAGGCCCTGCATGAAGGGGACGGCGTTGAGCTTGCACCCGGACACCGGCCTAGTGATATTGACTAAGTCGTCGATACTGCGCTGTTAGCCTTAAGCTTTGGTGGTCTACAATCGGTAGTATCGCGGTTAAATGAGATTGCTATGCGAATTGGCATGTCCATAAATTCCAGAAATACGAAGTTGTTCTCGAGCTGCATCCTTACCAGGAGAAGGCACCTCTGGGGATTAATGACCATTAACTTGAAGAAGTAGGCAGCTCTAAATGCCTCAGGGCGAGGCTACATCCGAATGGGCAGATCAAGGATGACATTGTCTCCCGCATTGATGCTGCTCGCTGGGTTTTCTCAATCTTTCGAAAGCGCCTATGGATCCGACGTGACATCTCCATCTTAACGAAGATTTGTGTGTGCCGTGCATCCATCTAGTCAGTCCTCATCTATGGATGTGAATGCTGGGCTTTGTGCACTGAAGATGAGTGAAGACTGAAGGTCTTTTATCACCGATGCCTGAGGACGATCCTGCGGGTTAAGTATAGCGACTTCATTTCAAATGAGAAAGTCCGCACCGGCTGCGACCGTATCAAGAAAATATCTCAGGCCATTCAAGAAAGGCGACTGAGGTAGTTAAGGCACTTTGACCGTCGTCTGCTCCACGAGCTAATCTGTGCTGCCCTCGGTCCGGCGCCTCAACCCACCTGGAAACGTCGAAGAGGAGGACATTCGTCAAGACATGAAAGCAGTTCTTGGACCTTCTATATTCGGTCTCCGTAGCTGGAGAAGAGAATGGGTGGAGCTTTCCAGATCCGCTGCCGTCAATCGTCACGCATGGAGAGATACCGTTCGTGACATCATTGAGGCCAGCTAGATCGAGAATTATCACAGCCGTAACAATAACAGGTAAGTAAGCACTTCACAAAGTAAGGCTCTCTTCGTACAGTTAAGTATTTCGTTTCGTTTTCATATTATATAAATTGCTGCGAGCTATACGTCGCATGTTTCGTTTTGTTTTCCCCAGAAAATGCACCCAACAACATGCACGAAATTCAAGTGGCTTTCCGCCAAATTCCATGGAAGGGAAGGTTATGACAGAGGTCGAATGTTAATTCGAGATCTTGGGCTGTTTGAACAAGCACC